TATCGCGGCATGCGCGCGCGCACACCCAGGAACAGGGGGGGAAGAGCAAGACGGTGTGAAGCGGAGCGCGCGCACATTCCCGCGCGCGGAATCCATCTGACACGCAGTAGTCTGCGAAGCGGTTTTCGATCCGCGTGTTGCTCGATCCGAGGAAACTCGGCCTGGTGTAGGTAAACCCTGGTGACGTCGCCGTGCCCGCGATATATACGGGGCGCCCCGATCGGTCGGTCGGTCGGTCTCCCGGCGACGCGTCTCCCGACATCGGGGTTACGCGACGTCGCGAGGAAGTGCCCCCGCGAACACTCGATACGTCCTTCCTCTTCATCCCGCCCGCTCTCCACGGCGCCGCCGATCCGTGGACTTGTCACCCTCCCTCCCGCTCGTCACCTCTACCGCCGCGCTCTCTCCCTCCCCTTCTCAAATGTGCGTCGCGCTGAAAGAATGGCGAATCCCGTGCTTCGTGGGTTCTCCCCGCGACGGTTTTGGCGGGATTTCCGGCGCATGCGCGTGGACAACGCGAGGTGTTCTCTCTGAGTGATATGTATGTGTGTGTGTGTGTCTCTCGCTCTCCCCCCCCTCCTCTCTCTCTTTCTCTCCGGCTCTCCCTCGTCCGCGCGGAACTCGCCAGCGGCTCCACTCGAGGTCTTTCGTTGCATAATGACTTATCTATCACGCTGATATCGCGCTGAATACCGAGTCTACCTAACCCTCCTTGTCGAAATTTCGCCCGGAGTGCGCGCAGACCGGCCAGTCCGCGGAGTATGGCGAGCGCGGGAATCGGAACTCGAGACGCGCATCCGGTATCTTCCACACCATCAACGTCAGTATCGTCAGTGTCATCGATATTTACTCGCGGTTATTCGCTTTCCGACGTACGAAAATCTACCGGGGGCAGATTTTCGCACGGGAGAATCTCGACACAATTCGCTACGGAATGTGGTGTCTCGCGGCCGCTTTTCAACCGTAGGATTAAGTTCCTTATTTACTTTTCTCCACGCCAGCGTGTTTGCGCACGCACTCCAAGGAACGACCGCGATGCTCGTTCCGAAAATTTTAATCGCCAGACATGCCAATCCCCGATAAAACTTGCACTCTCATAAATACACATGTCTCGCCACGGGCAGGAAAAATAAGAATTTAAGATCGATCAACGATCGATCGGAGAGATATCGTGACTCGACCCCCGGGGGGACATCGAGTGGCTCCGTCCAAAGGTTAATATACCCAGGTTAAAGCGAATCGCCGGAAGTGAGATTTAATTGTTTATTATCGAGACTCCGAGTTTTCAACATGAGAATCGATTAGAGAGACCAGCGACCTTGCGATTAGAGAGACCAGCTGTGCTTCTAAAACACGTTTGACTATTTCTTTTGTTATCCAATTAATTGACGAAAATCGAATTATATATTTGAATGAATGAAAAAAAAAAATATTCTCTCTTTCTCAAATCTGATTGTAAATTCGATACGCTTTCAATGATCACGTTGGTGGGAAGTGATCGAAGGATCATTCTCCTATTCGCATCTTTTTTTTTTCTGTGAAAATTTAAAAAATTTATGTTTCCTTCATATAAAACGAACGTTTTGCAACTCCGAGGTCGGAGTGCGCGAGTGTCACGAGTGTTAATTATCTTCCAGAACACAATAGTGTTCCAGCGTTTTGTCATCACGTGTTGCGCAAATCGTACGGTTCACGGCGTATCGAAAATTCTTCCGAAGCGCATGGTCAAGGTGATGGAGACGACGCGCACGTCGAGAGGACTGGGGAAGGGTTAAGGGCATCGCGGACGAGCTCAACTCCGTCGGTCGCGCTTTCCCGCCTTTCGGATATCCCGGACGTGAATCGAACTCGCGCGTCGAATGTGTTTACTCGTCGTCACACGTGTGCGGCGACAGACAACGGCGACGAAGTAGCGATGTATCGATTCCCTCGAATCGCGTTGGAGCCTCGAGGAAGAACGGAAAGACAGGCGAGTGGACTAGCCGTCGGCGTAAGGACGTAAACAATACCGCGAGACGACGACGTCGTTCGCGCCCGCGCGAGAAAGCGGGAGGAAGAGAGACGGACAGATGCGTTTGTTAATGCCGGGGAAAACGTCGATGACTCGATGACGCACGAGGTGCGATATATGGGTCAAGGAATATAGGCCGACGCGGCGGTGGCGGCAGCGACGACGATGATGACGGCGACGACGACGACGTGGTGGTTTCGTGTTGCGCGTTCTTGAAACCGGGAAAGTCCACGACGACGAGAAACGGCAGACGAGTCTACGGTCGAGTCGGCGCGTGGAGAGAATCGCGTAGCGATCATCGTAGTAGCATCAGAGAGACAGAGAGGGATTCCGCGCGTGTGAAAAGCGACGATGCGAAATAAAGAGCGGGAGAGAAAGAGAGAGAATGACGGACGGTACCTAGTGTTTTGTTTACATGCGCGCCTGATGGCGTGACCTTTTACCAGATCTCTTTCCGTCACGCGCGAACGAAGAACGTTTCCGGTGTGAATCGAAAGTGGTGACACGCCGACGTCGACTCGCTCCGCTCGGCTCGGATCGCCGGAAAGTTCCTCGCTCGTTCCCCGCTCGCGCCCGGGTGTTCTATCTATAGAGTCACGTTCGAGAGTCGCGCGGCTCCGCGAGGATCTTCCTCGGAGGCGAGGGGAACGCGATTAAACGTCGTCTGTTTTCCGGGTGAAACGTTCCGTAAGTTCGTGACCGTGATGTTACTCAAACAGGTAAATCCCTCCCCTCCAGACGGGGGGTAGGTAAGACCGAGCGGAATGTGAAATGAGGGGATTCCGCCGAGAGGGATAATTCGCACAGTGGACGAGGAAATCGCGATTTAACAACGGCGGAGAAATTTTATCCCGTCGAAAAACTCTAAACGTTTCTTCGCGCGACTTATATATAGACAAGGAAAAAAAGAGAAGGCTTTGCGCGCGCGCGTCGCGCGCGCGTGTGTGTGTGTGTGTGTGTGTGTGTGTGTGTGTGTGTGTGTGTGTGTGTACGCGCGGGTTCTCGCGTTTTGTGTACGTACGCGCGCGTTTACGAGATCGCGAAGAGGATAAACACGCGTGCCCGTGTGTTTGTGGTACGTGTACATGATGCGTGTGTTGCGCTTCCAGATGCTGGATCCGAGCGTGCTAACGGACCTGGAGGAGCTGACGCTTTGCAGTTGCTGCAAGCAGAAATACAATGACGTGGAGCAGTGTCCCAAGTACCTCAGCTGTAAGCACTACTTCTGCCTAAGGTGCATCGAGACCAGCCTGCTCAAGGGTCGCGATCTGTTCTGCGCGCATTGCTGGAAGAAGACGGACCTGGGCGACCAGGGCCCGGATGCCCTGCCGACTCACTCTGCTCTGCTTGCTCTGGCCAACAACCTGTCGCGTCTCAAGATCACGACGAACAACACGTCTGGCAAACCAGTCGATAAGGAGAGAAAGGTAATCGCTTTTCACGAATACTTCTTTTTTTTTTTTTTTATTTCGAGACTCCCGAAGATTACAAGAGAGAAAGAAGAATAAACGCCAAAAAACGTCAAGTTTTCGTTTCAGATTTGCACATTTTTATCAATGTAAAATAAGCCCAATTCCGAGTTCGATTTACTTCATTGTTTTTTTTTTTTATTTTTAGAACTAGAGAAAATTAGAAAAAATAAATTAAATCGAAATTAGGATTAATCTAAATTAATAGAAATGGACATTGATGATCCAGGTAGGATGATCCTCGCGGGAGAGTAGCGTGATCTGACGTAATCATAATCCGCGCGATAGCAACGCGGGAAATAGATTATACACGTGCATGTGTTTGATTAGACACAAACAAACACAAGGTGCGGTAGAACGAAGCGACATGCACGGACGCAAAAATACGCGACGGTCGATTTATTTAGATTCAAAGTGGCTTTGTCGTCAAAATTTGAACAATGAGAGGTCATTTGGTAACGCTAGACGAGTGCGAAGCCATACCGACAATAATAGGATGATGTTGTAAGAGTATCATTCCTCTCTTTTTTTCTTTTTCTCTCCATATTGTGGACAGCCGGCTATTCCTAATTTTATCAGAAATATACCGAGATATCTGAATATCTCCACGAGAAATTCTACTCGCGATATTTCGACATTCCGATAGATAGGTCGTGAACCTTCGTGTTTATCATGCAAACACGTGGACGCGTTTTCCCGAGCGGATCGATAACGCCTAAATATTTTCGCAGAGCGAGAACTGCCACACTCACGGGATGCCGCTGGCATTCTGGTGTGCGACGTGTTGCACAGCGCTTTGCAGAGCGTGCGCGACTCCGCAGGAACACCCGGGTCATCAGATCAAGTCGCAAACCGATGCCAAAGAACAGCTGATATCCGACGTAAGTCTCTCTCATTATTTGTTTTATTCGATTCAACAAACAAGAAGCTAACGACTTGGATGGAAATTCTGTTTTCCAGGTTCAATTGGAGCTAGTTACTGTGGGTAAATTGTCGACGGAGATTCAAAGACTGGCCGTGCAGCAACGCGACTTTCTGATAAGGGTGCTGGAAGCGTGCGTGACGCTGAAGACGCACGTAGAGACGGATCTACAGAATGGTTGGAGCCATTTCCCAGAGATAACGGACGCGCGCGAGACCCTGGGTAAGACAAGGGCGGGTCTGCAGATGAGCGAGACTCCAGGCGACGTATACAGCCTGCACTCGCAACTCGTTCTCGAAAAGCAGAGGTTGCAGTCTAAGTACCAAGAAATGATGCTGCAGTGCCAGCTGGATGATCTCATTGGCAATTCCGGCGTGATTTTCGACTTCGCTTTGCTAAAGCAGGCATTGGCGGGTATCCACACGGGGGATCCGATCGTCCCTCAAAACAACGGCGGCCGTCTACCGAATCATCTCGCAGCCTCGCATAACCCGATATTGTTCCTTGCAAATTATTGCATGTCGCAACTGTATACGCGTCACGTGGTCAGCAAGCAGCAGCACATGCAGAACGGCTCGATGGAGTATCATCATTCGAGTATGATGCCGCCGCCGCAGCAGGCGCCATCTGTTCACGTTCATCAGGGTCCGCCCCCGCCACCACCGGGACCGGGGCCGAATCAAGCTCCCCAGCAGCTCCTCATTCCACCCGGTTCACCGTCCATCAAGCCCGTACAGTCCGCGCCGCCCAACGCGATGCTGCATCCACAGCAACAGTCGACGTTCATGTCTGACGCGGTTGGCACCGGCGCCGGCGGCGGCGGCGGCGGTAGTCTAGTGACCGTCCACTCTTCCCCGCAGCCGCCGTCCAACGCGATAACGGCGACTTTGACGCGGGGCCCCGCGAGTCCGTATCCCTTATATTACTTCAATATCGAGGTGAACGGCTCGCCGCACGGACGCATTGTGATCGAGGTGCGACCGGACGCGGCGCCGAAGATGGCGAAGAACTTCAGCGTGCTGTCGACGGGTGAAGCCGGGATCGGCTATCAGGGATGCACGATATTCCAGTGTTGGGAAGGTGAGTCCGTCATTACGGGCGACTTTGAGCTTAACAACGGCCGCGGGGGACGCAGCATATTCGAGGATGGTTACTTCATGCCGGACGACACCAAGTTCCCGGCGACTAGGGGCGCGGTGGGCATGAGGCGAACGCAGAAACGGCACGACAACCTCGGCATGGTCGGCTCGCAATTTCGCATAATACTGCAGGAGATGCGCGGCTTCACCGGCATCTTCGGTCACGTGGTTGAGGGACTGGAGCTGGTGGAGAAGATATCTACGTTCGGCGACCAGACCGGCAAGCCTACCAAGAATATTCTAATCACGAAGTGCGGTAAATTGTAACGTTTACGTTGTCGCTGTCGCGCGGTTTGTTGTAACGCGGGGTAAATCTCCAAGAAAGATGGATATATACTCCGTATATATTATATAATGCCGTACACAACACGTTTTTCTGCTCTAGATAACCGAAGGAAAGTCGCCACGGTATCCCCGACTCGCGCGCGATCGCGGCCGCGAGAAAAATCTATACGTAAGAAAAAAAAAATGTGCAAAAAAGAAATCGCGTTACACGTAATTGTCCGACGACGGGAGACGATTATTGTTATTATTATATCCGCCGCGCGTATGTCCGCTCGGGGACGTCGTTGCGACACGTTTATTAGCTCCGCGATTCCTCGAACGCTCCGTACGAGTCATGCAACTTAATTAACTATTAACAATAGCGTCTAAAGATGTCGAATCTATTTTTAAAAAGATGGGCGTTGCGCGAGAAGAAAAAAAAAGAGATAAAAATCCATATTTTGCTATTGACTGGGAATCGATACGAGATTCTGCTAACAATAACGACGATGATCGAAATATACACACACACACACACACACACACACACACACACACACACACACACACACACACACACACACACACACACACATACGTACCTCATCGACCGTGATATCGATACGACTTCTCTAGCTGATACGACGTATTTGTTTTTTAGGGAGAGAGAGGTCTGACGTTTATTTGGCTATTATCGGCATTAACTCTTCTACGACATTGTAGTTCATAGAACGCGCGCCGCGCGTTGAACGTGATATAATGGAGAAAATAATACCGCGCGAATCGCGGCAGGCGATTCTCCGGCCAGCTGCGGGCGCAGCTAATGTTTTAGGTCGTAGATAGCGAATAAAAAGGGGATAAAAAGAGCACGCGTAGATCGGGGAATTTAACTGTAGCGAACTATCGGGAGGTAATCGAATCGTGTGTCGTATACGCGAGGCACACGTCTACGAAAGAACGAAAGAGACAAATCTACAAAGGAGTAAATATTTCGACTCTTTCGATTCTTGTTCTTTCATTTTTTTCATCACGATCTTCGCGACTTCCTGCTAAAAGTCGCAAGTCGCGCGATTCCATGTACGCAGGTCTCTCGTTTAGAAACCTTAGCCGGGAGAGAGGAAGAAGAGATATCGGCATAGTTAATCACGTAGGAGGGCAGTTTATGGTTCGTCGGACACGACGATCGCGTGTCGTTCCGTTCCGTTCCAGAGGTGCGAGGAAAAAGAGCCAAAAGGGAAGAGAGAAAAAGTAAAGGAAAAAAAAAAGAAAAATAAAAAGAGATATTCGTCGCGCGCGCGCCTCCTGCGAGGAAGAATCTTGCGATACCGCTGCTCGGATACTTGCGGTTCAAACCCGTTCCCTTTTCGTTCTTTGCGAACTAGCGAACCGTCGTGGATTATATCTGTATTTAAGATTAGATCTCAATACGTCGCAAATGTATGCAAGGCCTAAAACACTACTATGTAGACTGTAAGCCTCGTGTCGTCTAATCGGAAATGAACGAAAGAAAAAAAATGAAGAAATGTGCGGATATATAACGTATACATATACATATATATATACATATACATATATATATATATATATATATGTGTGTATATATATATTAAACGAATCATTCCTCGATGCTATATATCGAAAGAATACTACGATATAATGTAAACTGCGTTATAGCTACTCGTCTGAATCCTCGTAATGAAGTCCCATGCGTTATTATCGTTACATATATATATATATACTGTCACACACGCGCGCGCGTACGCGGGAGCGGACGCGAGTATCTCTCTCTCTCGCGAACACACGTGCGTGCGTATATATCTTCACGCGCGTACAAGGCAAGGCACACTCACGCGTAATAAGCAGAAATTGCACGCCCTCGCGTCGTCGCGGATATATGCCTTCTCGAAAAAAAGCCTCATTCGATGTTGAACTTGAAAGTTTTAACACTTGTTGATTAGCTGATTATAAAAAGGAGAAAAAAAAAAAGAAGAAACGAACGCGTCTCTCGCGATAATCTTGACGCGATGCGAAACGCGTCACGTTGTGTGTCGTTTTTAGGAATAAATAAACTCGCTCCTGTACGATCAGGTGCGGAAACGCTGTTCGGTTCGAGTGTGATGAGGCTGAATTCGCGCTTGCATCGAACTCGCATCTTTTTTTTTTTTTTTTTCCCCCCTAAAAAAGAGTCAGAGGCCAGACATAAATGACAGAGAAAGCTCAACGAGACTTGAAAAATCTGCATGCGAGCGCAATTCGTTCTCTCCGCGTTTGAATCGGACAGCATTTTTGCTCTCGGTTGCACATGTACAATATTGTATACACGACGACCGTAAGGGGGGTTGAGGGGGGGAAATTGCATGATTGTGTGTTCGAACGGATGGATGAATGAACGAATTCTCTCGTTTCGGTCCCAGACGGGGAAGACTCCGACAAACTGTAACTCTTAGTACGTAATCATAGATGCAATCGTGTGAGGAACAGAACATATTGTACCGAAGCGAGTGATAGATCAGGCCCACTTGTACACGTACACATACATGAGATACATACACACAGATCGACACACAGATACTGATACCTATGCGCGCGCGTATATATATATATATATATATATACACACATATATATATATACAAATATATAAATTACGTATATTTTTATGAACGTGATGAGGTAACAACGCATAGCTTGTAATATCGATTCTAACGATCGACCGATTTACCTTGCCCCTCGCGTGCGATTAAACGATTGAGCGGCTGTAAGCACTTGGACAAGTTTTTTCCTCGTCTTTCTACCTCGCCATTATTTCCCTCCGTTTTCTTATTTCCGCTCTTTTTTCTCTTTCTCTTACTTCCCACTCTCGTTGCGATGATCATTGAAAACGCAAAGATCGTGAATTTTTTTTTTCAGGTCCGCGGTAATCAAGTACCGTAGGAGCCATCGTTTAAACGAATTTTATTATTTCATTATACATGTATGAAGTGAACGTTTATTGCTCCAACTTAAGTGTACTTTTAATCAATCGATTTTGAGTTATAAATTGTTCTTTCTCCTTTTCCATGTATTATAATTTGTTCGTATCCTACATTCTATATGTTAAGTTGTGCGACAAAATTGCGTAAATTCCAATAAACATTAAGCTGCGATAGACATATGTGAGAAGATTCGAAGGCACTCGTTCGATATACATATATTATTAGATCGAAGTGATTCAAGGAAGCGTAATCGAGTAGAAAATAAAATCGACATGTTTGAACTTACCTTGTAGAAGACATCCGGAACGTATTGCTTATCGGTCGACTCGATTACATAGCCCAATTCCGGCGCGTCTTTTGTAGGAACCAAACAGCCGTCTCGTACTAACGCCATGCATTGATTGGATACCTGATAGCCCTCCATGTGAACTTGATTTTTATCGTCACCTGTAATGCCCCGAAGAAAGATGTATATCTGACAACTAGTTCTGCATGGCGTTCGTAGCAGAGATCTCTGATAATATCCGAAGGAAATACTGTTATTGCGTATCATTAAGGTTGATTAAAAAATTCATTCTGCTTTCCCTATGCGGCTCACACACCGATATTCGAGGAACAAAATTTTTAATCAACCTGATATCTCCGAAGTAAAAACATGCGTTACGTGTTACAAAATAAGATTGACTTACCTGTAACGCAAACAGTTACAAATTTTGAGCCGAAATAACCATTAGGCGAGAAGCGGCAGGGGTTTGGGTACCGGTTTTGAAAGTACCCAGCCATAATGCATTCTTGAGCGGATAGAAAATGGCTTTCTATATTGCGGACGTGTTTGACCTGATCGAATAAAACTGACGAAGTTAATCGCCGCACGTACGAGTTCGGTATTGAAAATGAATTACATGAGGAATAAAAGTGTATTGAATTACCGTTCCCTTCTTGACATCATCGGCTATGAGGTCAGTGAAAATCCATCCGACTCTCCTCAGATTAAGTGTCCGGCCTAATTCCTCGACTAATGCTTCCCTCTCGTCTGGCAGCAATCTTATTGTGTCTTTTGTACTTTCCTGACCAAAAAAAAAAAAATTAAAAAACGCGAACGTTATCTCGGTACTTGTTACAACCAAAAGCGTATATTTATAGATTTGTTAAAGATTATACGAGCGCTACGTACCTGCGGTGGCTCGTATATGGCTGCAACGACTGCTCTAATCCCTAACGGGACGTCCGAATGTACTTCGTATCTTCCGTACAAATAGCCGATACGTTGATGTCCAGTGCTGCGCCAGTAATTAAGAAAACGTTCTACTAAACTAGCATTTTCGAACATGACGTTGTCCACGTGCCGATAAGTCTGGCGGTTCAGCGTGATTGAGTTCGGTTGGCACTTGCTGCAGATCCCTCGTGGCCACGGCGGATGGTCCTTGCAGCCAGTCTTTATACGGCAGCTTATGTCGTCTAATTGTATAAACTTGCCCCTGCGATAAATATATACATATATATATATATATATATATATACACACACGAGATATACAGTCGAATATCATGTAGTAACATTTATTACAATTATTTCACAGCGAAACTTCACACATACCTATCAACTCCGGCAGTGAGCTTCCTGAGATACGAATGAAAGGAGAGATGTTTGATATTTTGTTCTTTCAGATAAATCTCATCGAAAGGTTCCAAAGGTGAACAGTGAACGCAGCATCCCCTCGCTCCATGTCGACAACTGGAAAAATCACAATTTTTCTTTCTCACTTTTCTCTACATCTCTCTACGATTAGATTACTTACAGTTTTTCATCGCGTTTACGCTGGATCTTGCCATCCAGCTTCCATAATTGCTCGTCGATATCATTCTCGATTACATTCGGCAGAGATCGCGAGAGACCAGATGAGCGATTTGTAATTCCATTAGCAGTGTCCGCTGGGCCTGATTCTACATTAGAATACACAAAGTAACATAAAGTCCGATGAACGAAAATACTTTTATATATTCATCTTAATTCTATTATTTCAGACAACTCCTGTGACTTTACTGCTTATGCCAATGAATCATTGATACCTGTAGAAGTGTTATTGGAGGCACTACTGGTGGATGGAGCACTCCACAGTTGAGTGCCATTGGCTGGCACGAGATAAAGTATATCCCCATGAGAAAGACCAATTCCTGACACCGTTCTACTTCGAGTAGATGTAAGCGGCTCCTTCTGGCTTCGTTGCTTACAGAGATTAAATCCAAAACTATTTAAATCGAAGGCTTCGTATACCTAGGCAGGAAACATTCAAGGATAGATTTCATACTAATGACGTCTTCAATATATATATAAAAGGTATAACATTTCTCGCAATCTATACCTTCTCATAAAGTCGAGAAACTGTATCAGAAGGTAGCACTTCTATACGTTTTGTACCCTCTGGAGACTGCACGCGTAGGATCTAGAAGTAAATAAACAGACATGTAACGGACAAATTTATATTTATTTAACAAAAGCAAATCAGAGTGTTGTACAAGACAAAATTTTTCTCATAATTGAGCAACATAATTTTGCATATAATTTTTTCATTTCATTCTTACGCAAATTCAATCTACTCGAAAACAAAATAATAGGAAAGAATATTTCAATCGCTTTTAAATACAAATTTTCAAACATGTTACATATAATAACAATCGAGACGGATACAACATGCGCGAGGGATATTCTTGACTTCTCAATTTTTCTGCACAAGTTACATAATTAGTATTCAAAAAACTGTCAAGTCACGAAGACGGTGGGACGCGCGTAGCGGACTTGGAGTCCGCTCCGCGAACTCAATTCGATGAAGACAAGTCGGTCGAGGGCCAGAGGTAGCCGTCGCGAGGGGCCCGATCGTGTCTCGCGTTCCCGTCTGAGAATTTTGTTTCCACGGCCACGTTGCGATGACAAACCGCTCGCGCGGCGGTACGGAAACGTCGCTTCCGGTCGCGTCGTACGCGCGTCGTCCCGGCCGCGTGCACTTACGATATTTGACATTTCGCCGGTGTCGGTGGTGCATCAGCTGTTCAGAACCCGCTGTGTCGAGTGTGCGGCGGCGCCAAAGTCCCTAGCGTCGCAGCGACGCTTCGCGTGACGAGGAAAAACTGTCGAGTCAACGTCGTGGGGCTAACCTAACCTCCACGCTCCGTCTCTCTCTATCTTTCTCTCTCTCTCTCTCTCTCACACGATCGACGAGCCGTACTCCCTGCGAGCGATACGACGGCAGCGTTGATCTCCGAGTACACCGTTGTCGCCGCGCGACCGCACACGTGCCCCTTTTCAGTTCAGCACTGTTGCCCGGCCGTGACGCGCAAACCGTAAGTCCGTAAGTGTAAGTCCCGCGTGCCGCGTCCGGATTGGAGTCAGCTGAGCGCGCGCGAACGAGAGAGGAGGCACCCACTGTGATTCGCTCGGCGCGATACAACGAACTCCCGCGAGAGATCTCGACGCGAGCCAGGCGAGCGAGCGTCCCTGCCACTGGGTCGACCGGGGGACGAACGCGAGTCGAATCGAGTCGAGTCGAGTCGCTGTTGCACGCGAGTCTCTCCGGGGGGGTCACGCTGGGTAAGTCTTGCTTTGCTTAGTGTCGCGCCGCTCTCTTCGCGCGATCCCGAAGTTCTCTCTTGCAACTTCCTCGCGCGATTTCCTTTCGCTTTCCCTTTTCCCCTCCCTCCCTCGTTCCCGCTTTCTCTCTCTCTCTCTGTTTTTCTCTTTTTCTTCGCTTCTCTCCGGATCCGAACGTCGATTAAACGACCGTAATCGCACGCGCGACAGATGACAAGGACGACGAGAACAACGCCACTCGTAAGCGCGTTCTCCGTGCGCTTCCCTTTCTCGCGACGATCTCAGCGACGCTCCCCGCGCACTATGCAACCTGCTCTACGGCGGGGTAAAAGCGGACGCCGACCCCTGGCGCACTTTCGAAAGAGCGGAGCGCCGTCGATATAGCGCGTCCGGCGTTGGCGCGGCGCGCACTGCGTTCAAGGCTCAAGGCTCGCATGCGCTCGAGGATTTCGGCTTTTTCGGAAACATCCCTTGCCCGCACGACGAATGTCAAAACGTTCGATTACCGTCCAACTTCCACCAAGTAAATTAACTTTAAACTTAATTTAATCTCGGTTTAACATTTTTGTCCTCTTTTTTTTTTTTTAATTCTTTTTTTTAATCTTCTAAGGATTAGAAAAGTTTTAACGAAGATGCAGAGTAAATTAAACCGAGATTAAATTTATGTCTGTTTATTAAATTTATTATCTGTTATTAATTATCTTTTCCTAATTCTTAAAACTAAAAGAAGATAAAGAGTAAATTAATCCGAGATTAGATTTAAGCTACTTTGATAGAAATGAATATAAAGTGCAAGGGATTACTTATACCTATATTTGTATCAATTTAGATTAACTTTAATCTCTTTAGGTTAATTTTATCTTTTTATTCTTTATCTTTTCCTAATTCTTAGATCTACAAAAAGGTAAGAAATAATTTAAAGCGAGATTTAAATTAATTAATTAATATTGGTAGAAAGGGATATTGAAATAAGATTTCTAATCAGGTGATTTATAATCTCTAATGTAATTTTTTATTTAGATATCAAAAAATTGATAATTCTATGCTTGCAAAACAGATATTGCTAGATAAATATAATGAATTATTTGTGATTACTTTTCCATTTCCAACAATTCGTATATAAATTTTTATCACAAAGCCGACAATTCTAACAAAAAACGTAAAAATCAAAATTCGAAAATTCTACCTTTACATATCAGTATACGATTTTTTGGGGAAAATCCTTATTTCCTCGATTCGCTTTATTTGTTTATCAAAATCGGATGTTTCTCGCTTTGGAGGAATTTTATTCGAAACATATCTGTGCAATTTTCGAATTCCTTCCGTGTGTATAGTATATTTAATCAGTCGTATTTATTCAATCGTATTTGTTCATTATCATACAAAAGCTACCTGCGGAACGCGCAACATGAATTTGTCTTGTGGGAAAAGCGACGCGTTAAATTAAATGCGAATTGTTATCTGGTCATCGTGCCGGCAATTGCCACTTTACTTTAGGTGATCGTACTCAGATATAAATAAGCCAGACGCTGGCACATCCCATTTGCGATGAATTTTAACATTAATTAGATCTGGCAAACCCGAACTTGATTGGGCCTAACTGAAACTCGAACAAATCCTATCGGAGTTTTCCCGGATATTCGCAGAGCCTTCGTCAACGAACTCTCACTCGCGACTTTGCGGTGTTTTTTTTTTTCTACTCTACGAACTGACGAAAATTCCAAGAAGGCACGTTCGTTTAGCAGCTGCTCAAAACTGACGTCTATCGGTGTAGCTGAGTTTTCAAATTTAGAAATTCTCTCTTTGGCGTGAATCGAGGAGGGACGTCTTCTCTCGATTCACGTCGCATCTTTTATCCGGAAGAATCCGGAGAATCACGCGTATTTTTGTGCACGACGCGCGTGCATATTCCAAAAAACGCGCCTGCCAGCTTCTCTAGCCAACGTTCATTATATTTCGG